CCAGAACTGGGGGAGCGCGGTGGGTAGGTGGCATCACCGCCTGGCTGTGTGGCGAGCTCGGTGTTCCCTCCCCAGCAAGACAGACTCCCCAGCACTTCTTGTAAGCACATTCATTCTACAAAGAAGTCTCTGAGCATACACAAAGGGAGATATTGAGCCCTCTCCGTCCCTTTCACTCACAGCGCCGCTTATGAACCCTTCTGGGCCTGTCTCAGGAAGGAGGGGTGCCGTGGAACTGGGTGGGTTCGCATTCCTCACCCTGAGCCCTAGCTGAGCCAGCCTGCAGCCGTGGCACAGCTGCTTGGGTCCACCTGCTCGGGAGGCTGGAGGTCTCCCTCCGAGAGACCACCCATCTCCAAATCCCCTCCAGCTGGATGTTGCTCTTCCTCATTCCCATGGGAGGGTGGACTGGGCCTCGTGGCTGCCCTTGAACTAATCTCAGCTTGAGCAGACACAGACGGGTACCGAGAAACCATTACAACAACGGTCCCGTTATCAGAGCTCGCGTTCTCAGCCTTGTCTGGGTCAACCAACTCCCCACTGTTCTCGGACTCGGAGCTATCAGTCCCACCAAAACAGCCAGCTTTTCGTGCGCACCTGGGAATCCCGCCAGGTGGAGGAGGCCAGGTGGTGGCAGAAGGAAAGTAGGGCTGGGGCCACAAGTGGGTGGGGCCCGCAGCCCAGCAGGGGCCCCAGGCTGAGACCCTCAGCGGCTCCTCCTCTTCCCCATCGCATTCTGCTTGTTCGCCTTCCCCTCACGCCAGTCCAGGCATAGGGGGCTGCGAAGGGGGAGCTGGCAGTGTGGCTTTTACCTAGTTCCCTGGGCCTCTGCCTGGCAGTGCTGGTCACGGTGAGAATGAGGAGATGATCTTGGTGAGAGGCACAGCCATGGTGGGGTGTCTTGGGAAGGGCCCTCAAAATCTTTCAGACAGCACTGGGGAAAAGCGTAGCCGGAGAGAGGGGAGGCGAAGGACTCCTGGGCCCAGCAGAGCTTTCGTTTAGGGCAGCAACCCCTGGCCCTCCATGAGGGCGAACCTATTTGGGGGATGTTGCTCAGGACCACGGACAGCTCCTACAGAGCTCAGAGGAACAGCTGCAATGGACAGCAATCCCCAGAGATGAGGCACCACCACCATCCCCTGGCCCGGAGGCGTCCTCAGTCCACGGCTTTTGTCCCAAATGCTTGGGAGGCAACATGCTACGTCTCAAGTCGATGGAAGCCACATGTAGGCAACCGAGTGCAGAGAGCCAGGAAGGCTCTTGGAGCCGTTACAAAGCAGAGCAATGAATGAGGCTTGGCTTGGCTTCCAGCAACATTCCTGTTGGCTCTCCCCCCCACCCCCCGTCCCCAAGAACAGATAAAGATGTTCTTGTTCCCACTGGGATGGGACGAAGGGCGCAAGGAAAGCAAAACAAAGTGGGCTTCTAGGATGCCCAGGAAGAGGGCTTCCCCAGATGGGCAGGGACAGCGCTAGGTACGAAAAAGAACTGGGACACAGGACCAAAATGAGCATAATGCACAAAAAGGTGCTCTGAAGCCTCTTTTTGTGCGCGTCCTTAAAGGGCTCTGTCTCCAAGGGACCCCCTTCTTTGAGGCACGTGATGTACAGGCGGGCGGGGAGAGCGCTGGATTCCAGGGGGAGAGCCTCCGGCAGAGAGATCCGCGTGGGGAGGGCAGCAGCAGGTGGGGCCGAAGGCTTGCTCGCTTGTGCAAGGGGGCAAGAGGCAAGGGAAATCCCCAGGACCCCGGGCCATTTTTCCAGCAGGTGCTGATGGACAGCAGGCTGGGGGGCCACCAAAACAGGATTGGGGCTCCCCACTGCCTCTGCCGAAGAACATACAGCTCACATCACATGGGGCTGGGCAAAGGCGCTTTCCTGCCTGACTTGGAGCACCAAATGGCACCTCCTTGCACGCACACACAATCCAATCCAAACGGCGTAAGTAACCAAAGCCCCCCAAGTTATTCCTTTCTTGATATTACTAAGAATGTCACTAACATGAATGATGTTTAGTAATTTATTTACTTGCTATTTATATTTATGGATCCTTTACATCCAGGACATTTCTAAAAGTTGCAGAAAAAATAGACTCTCTACATAGGAGATATTTTATCTTCCTAGAAATGCCAGTTGGAAGAGGGATGCATTTTTTCAAGGGGTCCCCCGAGACTGTAGAAGGCGTGGTGTCTGCTGGGAGTTCCAGGAGTTGCCGGGAGTTCCAGACAGTGAGTGCTGCGACCCTGCAGGCCCCATTCCAAGACATGAGCAGAAATCCCACAGAAAACCCTCCCAGTTCCTTCACCTGGTAGTAAAGATACTCTAGTAACAGATTAGGGGCTGGATTCTGCACATTTGCCCAGAAAAAGTCCTAAATTCCCCGCATGCTGCAACCAGCATGGTAGGACTGCCTCCTGCCTCCTTATGCACAGGACTATGTCAGGAACAAGCACTTGCTGTGCATGACACCCACGTCTCATGCTTCTGCTCCCCCCCCCGCCCGTTCCCCACTCTGGCAGACAGCAAGGCAGCTCTGGATCTCTGCAGGGCCGCCGCCTCTTCTTTCTACTGCTGCCACGACTGACTCTGTGCGCCGTTTCCAGCGCTGCCCGGGGTGATGCACACTTAGGAAGCGGGTTGCTGATCCCACGCACTGCTCCGTCCCTGGAGCACACTGGGCACAAAGGATGCTTGGCGCACCAGCCCCTTGCTGCACGCCCCGAATCCCGAGTCCTCCCCACAGGCGTGGGCCAGTGCTGACTCAAGCATCCCCGAGGAGTGGGAGAGCTTGTCCGTTCTGCCCACAGCCACATCCAACCCCTCTTTTAAAAGTCAGTCCCCAGGGAGCTTCGGCTGCGTGGCAGAATAGAAAGAGAACCATAATAATAAGTTGCAGTGTTCAAGAAGTAAACAACAGAGACTCCTTACCCAATTTGGATCAGGAACGTGGCTGGGGAAGTGAGGGGGCTTCAGGCTTTGCTTCAGTCCAGAGCAAGACTGGGGGCCATGCCTGCTATTTGCATTTGTATTGCTAGGAAAGCTTCCAGGGGTGCAAATGAGAACTTTATTTCCAATGCAAACAGCAGGGGTGGGCGCGTGCATGCGTGCGTGCGTGCGTGCGTATGTGTGTGTGTGTGTGTGTGTGTGTGAGAGAGAGAGGGAGGGAGGGAGGGAGGGAGGGAGGAGGAAGAGGAGAGATCTGAGTCAGAACTGCAGGAGGTCAAAGGGTTAAAACCCCTCTCTTAAATCTGGCTGTAAGTGGAGAAAGTCTAGGTGGGGCAGAGAAGAGGGCTCTGCAACCCCCCCCTTCTGTTCAAGATGGCCTCCTCCACGCTGTAGTTTGTGCATCATTTGGTTTGGAAACTGCACTTCGTCCAAAGCACAAACGCTAGATTACTGGGACTGGGCAGTTAACCATCTTACCAACACTTACACCATTTCCAGGCCCAATTTCAAATATTTAGCTTTTCAGACCTTCAATCAACTTGACCCCCTAGGTTACCTGAAGGATCACCTTTCCCCACGTACATTATCCAAACCTTGGCCTACCCACAGCACCTTCACAAAAAGAAGTGAGGCAGGCAAGCATAAGGGGAAGCTGTGGCACAGCCGTTCCGTGGACCAGCCTTCCAAGCAGCTTGCCTGGCACCCCTCCCTGTGATCTTTCTGGCGCCCGATGAAAACCCTTTGTTCACTGGGGCCTTTTCATTAACTTATGTATTCTAGGTCTCTCCATTTAAAAATCCTTGTTTTTAATTCTGAGGTTACACTTTGATTGGTTTGCTCTTGGGTGCTGCTTTGGCTCCTATGGTATTACATTCCCTTAGGCATCTAAATTGTTTTTGTCTGTAAGCCACCTAGAGAACTCTGCACTATGGGGTAGCCCACAAATGCTGTAAACTTAGTGGCATAAAAAAATGAACACTCCCTGCCCTGGGGAAGACACAGAGAGGCGATGCCACATTCTGGCAAGCTGCTGGTCCGTTCCATGGGACTTGTGCAGGGGATCCTCCTGCCAGGGGGTGCCCCTTCTGAGCAGCTGTCTGCCACCCCATGCTTTGCTCTTTGTGGCACCCTCCCACCTCACCAGGACGGGGCCGTTGCTCGGGCAGCGAGGCTATGCTTGCATGCAAAGGTCCCAGACTCAAATCCAGGCTGGGCATAAAAATGTCCTGCCCAACACCCTGGAGAGCTGAAGCACTTGGCCAGGAAAGCGGGTGGCCTGGCCAGCTCCAAGGCGGGTCCCGGTGTCCCCAGAGGGAGACAACCCCAGGGCTCGGTCTTCAAGAGGCACGGGGTGGGGGCCTACCGAGGACTGCGCGCGTGATCCATTTTCCCGCCGCACAAGGCCGAGAGGCGCAAGGGCCCTTTCCAGGGCTTGACCCGAACGTGCAGGCGCGCACGAAAGGGAGGCGAGCGGAGCGGAGCGGGAGCGCCCTTGCGAAGCCTCCCGGCTGGTCGGGGGCTCTCAGTCCCGCGGAGGGGGCAGGGCAGCCGGGCGGCGCACCTGGAGCAAGCCGCAGGCGGGATGGCAGGCCCAGCAGCCGGGCGGACGCTTCCCGACGGGAGGCCCAGCCCGCGCCCCGTGCAGGGACTGGGCCCCTGGGCACCGGGAGCGCGCGCCCCTCCCTTGGGGCCGCCTCGAGCGCTCGCAGCCGGGCCCCCGCCGAGGAGAGGGGCGCCCGCCCGCAGCCCACTCGGGGCCGCGCGCCGGCTGGGCCCCCGGCCCCCGCCCGCCTCCCCGCTCGCTGGCAGCACGCGGCGCCGCTCGCCCGGCCTCCCTCCTCCGGCTGAAGCGCGGATTTATTCCGGCTGCGCTGGCCCGGAGCCACCAGCCCGCCCGCCGCCCGCCCCCTCGCCAAGCGCGGACTGGGCTCTCCCGCCGCTCCGGCTGCTCTCGGCGAGGCTGCCCCGAGCCGTGCGTCCCTCGGCACGGCCGGCGAGACGCGGCGACCTGGGCGCCGGGGCCCCGAGGCAGCGCGCGGCTGCCCGCGGAGGCGCATGGCGAGCGCGGGGGGGCGCGGCCGGCCCGGGGGCCTGCGAGCCGCGCTCCGGCTCTGGCTCTGGCTGTGGGGCTGCTGCTGCTGCGGGCTGCCCGGCGGGGCCGGCGGCACCTGGAGCCACGCGGGGCTCCAGTTCGCCAGTCGCAGGTAGGCGCGGGCGCGGAGGGGGCGCGTCTGGCGCGGGGGCGCCCGGGAGCCCCAGGCTCTGCCCCGGTACCCTGCGCCTGAGCGGGGAGGCTCCACTCGCGCAGGGCGCCGTCCCCGGCTGGCTCCGCGGGGCAGGGGGGCCCCGCCGCGCCCCCGCGCGTGAGTGCAGGGCCTTTCCCGCCCGCACGTGCGGGGGATTGCGCTTTGGGGGAGGGCTGTCGCCGTCCCTGAGCACGGGCCGCGGGCGCTGGGGCTGATGGGAGCTGTGGTGCCCCGGGCTGGAAAAGCAGCCGCAGTTGCGGTCTCCTCACGAGTTCTGCGGGGTCCAGCCGAGGGGTGTTTGCGCCCAGCGTCGTGTGGCTAAGGGGCCTCCGGGACGCCCGCTGTCATTTGTCCCTGGAGTATCTGGAGGCCACGCGAGTTTCATGCGTCGCGCGACCCACTCGCGGCCTCTGAAGTACAAGTTTTATTTAGCTGTTATAGCAAGCGTGCCTTATCTGCAGGCCGTCCCCAGATGTGGGACGCTTTCCCCGGAGAGGCCCCCTTGGCACCACTGTCTTGCCATTTTGATGCCAGGCAAAGGCCCTTTTATTTTCTGACTCCGCTTGCAAGAATGTTTAACTTCTGCTTGCTTTGTTTTGAATATCTTTCATGCTGCATTTTAAAATCATTTCCCCCATGCTTTTGGCAGCTCATTTTTTAAAAAAATCACTTTATAAAGGTTTTTAAAAAGTTTTGTCACTGGTTTTTATTGTTTGTTATTGTATTATGTATGTCCCCATTAGAGTTTTGGCAGTGGGTAGCTGACACAGCATTGGATTGAATGAATTGCAGTGGACAGATTCATCCAGCAGAAATTTGTATAAACTTTTGAAAACTGCCTAAAATAGTGGTTGTCATGGGATCCCATGGCAGTGAGTTCCATAAGTTAGCCCTGAATGCAAGACTTCATCTGTGTGTAAACTTTAGCCATGCCTTTATACTTACGATCCAGTGAATTAAAGAATAGTAATTCTCCTTTACGGAATTGGCCCTCAGAGATCGGGGCTGAGTGTCAGGATGAATTAATCCCAGAGTAAGAGATTTGTCTTGGGAACACATTGGGAAAGCTAAGTGCCTTTTGGGGAGGGAGGCTCTGTGCAGGCAGCCATTCCAGTGGAACTTTTCTGGGCATGGAGATGGGAATGCAGAACGATGTGGGACACTGCAGTGGTTGACTTCCCTCTGCCATGCTATGTGTCTGCAGCTGTGAAAGGTGGCAGGTGGAAAGCGCGGCTGCCCTGTCTGTCATGCCTCCCTTAGGTAACTAGCATCGCCCAGTGGTTAGTGCATGGAATCAGCTTTTGGAAATGCTCTTCTCATTTCAGGCTTGCCACTGATTATGTGACAGATGAAGTGCTTGTTTCAAGATCAAATCCTCGATCAGCCCTAAGGCATCTTGGATAGGTGTAAACGAGCAGTAGCTAGTCCACTTAAGGTGCTCCCTTATGCATGATTGAAGAGAAGTAAGCCCAGCGGCTCCCCGCCTGCTGGTTGTAGAATGTTGGAAGTCATGGGAGTTATCCTGGTCTAAATGTGGCCAGGACTATGCCCTTGGGCTTACCTTACAAGGTTGTTGTGTGGATGGAGCGAGAGAAGAAAGAAGGCAAGCAGTCTGAATGTGTGCAGCATGACCTTCACGAAAGAACTGGGGAATTGGGCTTCTTCCCGTCTGGGAAAGAGCAGCTTGCCTCCGATCTAAAGAGCTTATGGTGGGAATGGAGCTTGAGGTGCCTTAAGCCCTGGGAATTTCTCTCCCCTGCAAGAGCTACATTACCATGTCAAAATTGGGAAAGGCCTGCTTCCCTCTGTCTGTCCTTGGCATGGAAATATCTTGATTGTGCGTTGGAGTTCATGCATTGCATGGTTCTGAGGGTTGCAACAGTTTTCCCTGTTCCCTGCCAGCAGATAACAGATGCATCTGATAAATTGGCATCCAATCCATGAAAGTTTCTCCCACAATCATTCAAGTGACATGAGACTTTTTGTTGTTTTAGTCTGGCTTTCCCCATTCAGATGCCCTTTAGCTGTTTAGACTGCAAGTCCTATCAGCCTGTGGCAGCTTGGCCAATGGCCAGTGAATACTGCCTGGGTGTGGAATAGAGACTCCGTGCACTGAATGCAGCCTGCTGGAGGTTGTCCATCTGGCCCACAAACTCTGTCCACCGCTATTTTTGAAACGTGTTTGGAGATTAGAGGTGATCTAAGGCTCTGAAGTACGCTTTTATCTCCCATCCCTGAGCTCTCTGCACTTTGCAGGCTTGGAAACTGTTGCATGGAATTCTAGTGAAACTCAGCAGAAAGAACATTATGACTGCAAAACAGTGTTCCTCACCCTTCCAGATGTGTTGGACTACAAGTCCCATCATTTCCATCCAGGATGGCCAGAACTGATATGGCTGGCTTGCACCTGAATTAACATGTATCAAGAAGCTGACTTGGTTTGCAAGATCAAATTAGTCCATGGCCTGTTGTCGGGTTATCTGAGGGTTGGTTTCCCCTCTAGCAAGCCAAGCCACACCTTGGTGGGTAGTTACGGAAATGGTAGCTGGCACGTACCACAGACTAAAACAAGCCACTGTGGTATGGTGGTTTGTGTGAATGAGGGCTAGTGACCTGTGGCTTGTATTGAGATTCTGGATTTTTATCCCCACGCATGGATTAACTTTCCGATGGCAGGCTGTTTGGCAACATTCCTTTTGATTGGTCACTGTAATTGGTTTCTATCCATCCAAGTGTCAATGCAGTTATAATTATCTATTTTTCTTATATACCATTACCCTCTGATTGGCCTATTCCTGATTGTTACCTTTACAGTATTGTATTTATCGTTTACCATCTGTCTCTCTTTCAGTCTATCTCTCTGTGATTGATAGACAGAAGGACAAACGGACAGCTCGCCATTCCGTGCATCTGATGAAGTGCTCTTTGGTCCAGGACAGGCCTTGCCAGAACAAATGTGTTCAAAGTGCCGCAGGGCTCTTTGCTGTTTCCGCGAGCAGCCACTTTTGCTCCCGCTCTGTGATAGTCAAAAGACAGCGTCTTTTCAGTACCGTTTGGACGCCTTCTGAAAATCAGACTGTCTTGCCCACCCCAAAAATGCTTCCAGAGTTTCTGTTAATAAAGGGATAATTTGTAAAAGTGAGAATTCGGTTGCTTCTTGAGGCTGCAATCGCACGACCCCTGAAATAACCTCATGGGCCCCTTTTTGCAGGCGGAGCGGATGTGTTTCCGCCAAAGGAGCAGGAAGGCTGTGCTGCTTAGCTTACTCTCTTGGAGGCATCGTGCTCATGTAAGCCCGTTGCTGGGGAGCATGGGCAGGAGGTGTTATTACGGTGATACCCTGCTGGTGGGATCCCACGGGAGCACAGACCTGGCCTGGATGGCCTTGATGTTCCAGCAGGGCCCCATCTGATGCAGCCTGGTGTCCCTGCAACAGCAGGGGCTGGACCCAGTGGCCTTCATGGCTCCTTCCAAGTCTTCTATTCGATGATTCTGTGATGCATCTAGTCCTCATTTCTTCTGGCCTCTCTGTTCCTGTCGTGGATGCATTGAGTCTTCCATCACTGCACCCCTGGGCTAAGAAAAGTCTTGGCTGCCCGTGCGCTACACAAGCAGAATACAGAGAGGATCCACCTGTGAGACCATCTTTACTCACAGGCCTGCTGCCTTTTAAAAAAATTTTTGGTAATGGATTGAGTCCCTGATGTATTTAATAGTGGCATGCCAGGCAGATATTCTGCATGTGTAGCCTCTTTTAACCCCCCCCCCCCCCAACCTCTGTCCCTTCCCCCGTATTCCTCTTCATGCTTGGAGTCCTTTCTCGAAAAACAGTGCTTCTTCCTGTGTGGCTGCGCCTTGCCTTCTGCGAGCCGGTCCTGCCAGACATTTTTGAATTCTGCTCCTGTGAGCCCCGTTGGCACGTTTAATGGTCAGGAATGCTGGAAGGGGTGTTCCCAGAGGCCCAGACTGTCAACCCAGGTGGGCCAAGCTGAGTGTTTCTTCCTTCTGCGGTTGGGCAGCTCCCCTATCCAGAAAACAGCAGATTCTCTGTCCAGAAAAAAGGTGGCCGTCCTATCAGAAGCACGAAGGTTGCCAACTGATCAAAACCCAAGCTCCTGGCCTGCTGCAGTTCTTTTCAAAAGCTGAAGGGAGCTGATCAAAGCATCTTGCTGCCCTGAGGGAGGCATGATCCCCTCCATGCGCTTGCAGGTCGGGCTGGAGAGGCAGAGCAGCAGGGGGCTGGCTGAAAATTGAGCCCCCCTGGCAGTGACTGGGGCTTGCTTGCTTGCTTGCGATGCTGGGAGTGCCTTGTTCATCTACCAAAGCGAGCCTGTTTTCATTCTTCTAGGACAGACTAAATTGCCATGTTGGTGGAAGCCCAAGGCAAAATCCAGGCTCCTTTGTGACTCGTATTTTTGTGGAGCGAATCCCAGCACAAGGGTCCTTCCAAGGGCTTTGTAGGCCCATTGGCTGGCACTGGGTGAAGCGAGCGCCTGCCTCTAAAGCCTTTGGCTCCAGGTTGGAAAGAGGGAGCAGTCGTCCTCGCCATAATTGGGAGGAAAAGGAAGCACACGGTTTCCTCCTCTTTGAATGGAAGGCCGTTTCTAATTATAGGCGTGGCATTTGTGACCGGGGGGGAGAACGGGTGGGCCGGCCCGGTCCCTGCGAGGGGGCAGTGCATGAATCAGGCCGAGGCAAAACCCCAGGTGAGGCCACGCTGCGTTCCGAACTGGGCAGCCCAAATGCAGCCATGCGCCACGTCGGTTCATTAGCTCATTGCAAGAGACCTGTGCCCACCCGTCAGTCAGTTTCCAGATGATGCTGGCCCAGCATGCATCATGCTCTGCTGCAAGACACCTTAGACCCCTTTTCCACCTGCTGCTGTCTTAGAAAGGTGCAACGCAGAATTGTCATGGTTAGCAGAAGCACCTGCATAGGGCAAACAGGATGCATAATGC